TCGGGCCTAATAGGCTTCGGCCCGTTGGCGTTATCTCGGGACGTAAAGTCGTATCCGAACGAGAATACGATATCCCCTGGGGCGTTATCTCGCGACCGGGATTTATATACACAGACACCCACGCACCTACGCGTTTATCACCGAGTTAACGTAACTCAGATTCCCATCCACTTTTGCCGAAGAAACGGCAATAGCGGTGGCAGCGTCGCGATATCCAATCTTTAATTCACATCTGACGGGGATTTATGCTCGCGTTTCTTTAAATCAGACATTCCAACGCGTCCAAGACATTCGAATCGATTTTTGCAAATCTCATTAATATTAGATTTTACACTCTACATTTTGTACCTACTCTAAGATACACAATGTTCATTCAATGCATAATGGATGCAATCAATACGAATATGAATAACGTATCAAAATTAGATATTGGAAAATCGGAGAGTCGGTTGGATTAAATTATTAGCTAACTATGCATAAATCATTTTTCTTTCAAATTAGCGAATATTTTGCTGGCGATGATGTTCCGTTTTTACACGTAGGTAATGATTAATCGTTTTTATCGACAGGACTTTTAGCGACGCTGGAATTCACAGCTACAAGAGAATTCTCTCGAGAATCGATGACATGTTAATGAGGCGATAAATATTTATGCCGTACGAAGGCCAGTCCGCAATTGTTACCAGAATTATATATAGGAGTGTCATCTGTATTAATAGTTAAGTTGCGGGAGTCGGAAACTCCCGCGTGGAACAGACAGCTCCTTCACGGTCGGGCGAATTTTTGACGATCACAGAAATGAAGAACTCTCTCTCTCTCTCTCGGCGTGGAACTCGGTTGGCATATTAAACGTACCGCCCCCAACAGTCGCGCGATAAACTTCGAAAACGCTCGGCGCGCACCGCGATGCAATAATTATAATGTGCAGCTAAGAAACAAGACTCGCGGAAATTAGAAGGGAAATGGGCCACGGTAATTTGAAAATGCAGTCGTAAGCCTCGAATAACTTCGAGCGCTTGAGATGCTACTACTTTGCGCAACGCTTTGCACAATCTCGGAAATTGTTACGAGCTTTTTCAGAGCCTCGAGGCTACCATTAATTCGGCGTGTTAATTCGGAAAACGTGCGCGTAACGAATGTCGTAACAAATACATTATCGGAGCTCCTCGTTCTTACCGCCTACGGCGTTTACTTCGCAATCACGTTCAACACCGCGAATTATGCGTGATCCACAATAGTCTGACACATCTTCTTGATACATATGTATGTAAAATACAGCAAACTATATTTAGAGATTTACGTGTACCACACCTGCAGGAAAATCATTAAACGAGAACACGTCAAAAATTGCATTCGTTTATAGTAATGTCGGAGACATGATTTTTAATTGGAAACAAAGATCGTGTGGCACGAATATTCGATTGCGAAATCTCGTTGGATTCGCCCGTGCACGTTGTTTTTGACAAACGCAAACGTGCAAAGCAATTTTTCGACGCGTCATTGTGATGGCTACGGAAAATCTAAAACGTAACACAAACCCTGTGTGTCTGCCGGCCGCGTTTATCATTTTCCGTCACTTCTTCGTTCCCCGCTTATATAAACGCTCTAGTATCGTTTTCCCTTGCGTGCGCAGCGCCGACGTCTTTTGACACTGCGACGAACGGTGCGCTTAAGCCGCTTTAATCTTTCGCTCGCGTACGTGATTCAATGATGCCGCAAAAGCTTTGTTGCCCTCGAGTGTAATAATCGAAACGCGTGAAGCATGATGCAGGGTTCTATTCGTAAAATTTGGACGAATCAATTCATTCCGCTCCGTTACCAAAACCATACCGCTAAGAACGAAAGGGTTAAGAAGAAAGAAAATCATTTATTATGGTACTCTTGGGACCATGCCTCCTGGCTCCTAATGCTCGGTTTCACCAGCAGATCACTTGCTGGTGGATGGGTCTATATAGAATTTCCTTTTGCGATAGTATTGATTCAACAAGAAAGGCGAATACGCTTACATTATTGGTGAAAAGAGTTAAATCCGCAAAATGCGATACAGAACGATGAATATAAATTTATTGCGTGGAATAATGCAGAGAACTATCGAAAACGGATATTGGTGTAAGAAAATAATTTAAAAATCGTAATAAATATATAAATATATTAACGACGAAGAGCAATAAGGCCAATAAGTAATATAAAAACATTATTGCGAAAGGTCATTAGACAACAAATCAAATTAACGAGAAACTAATCACGTAATAAATTATTGCAACATTTTAATTAAAGTTTAAGCGACGGGGAAAACGTAGAGTAGGAAAGGCGAAAGCGAGGTGAGCGAGACGAGGAGCAAGTTGAAAAAGATAGGAAAAGAACAACAAAATATACAATAGCTCTTCTCCCTCTCGTCTTTCTCTTCGTATCGCTGCCATCATTCTTTTTCTTTGACTCTGCTCGCGCGATACCATTTCCAAGCTTACAGCAAGCTACGGAGCGGAGTGAAAGAGAGACAGGCGGACGGAAAGAGCTACGGTGTTTATTATTAGGTTGCAGAATGCAGAAAAGGATTCTACGGTGCGCACGGTGTGTGCTAGACAGTCGCACGATTGATCGAATAAACGGAATGCTTCCGATGCGTTAATCCGAGAATCGCTATTTCGAGGAGAAGGACAAGGAGCAAGTGCAGCACGTTCATAAAAAATGCAATGCGCGCATCATACGACACGCATTAAATCGCGAGTTCGTTCGGATGCAAAGCATGGAGCGAGGATTATGAGGATTAGTATGTTCCACGGTCAACGGGAGTTTATGTATTATGCATCGGAATACGATGGGAGGCGTGATGTAAAAAAAGAAAGGGTGGAGAGAAAAAGAGAGAGCGAGAAAAAGAGAGACAGACAGAGACAGAGACAGAGACAGAGACAGAGAGAAGAAAGAGAGAGAGAGAGAGAGAGAGAGAGAGAGAGAGAGAGAAGCGTCTTCGCGAGATCTTAGTTTACGTTACGATATCGGCGAGGATATCGGTAATGTTGCACGGAACGCTTTCAAGGTGCGCGCGCCGCTAATGCACCTTATGTCACACATTATCAATTAATTTCGTCACCATCGCGCGTCTTCTTGATAGGTAGAGGCTTAATCCCGTAAAGCGGTATTAGCAGCGGCGAGTCAAGTGCTTGCGCCCACAACCCGACAACCTCCGCCCGCCACGCCGTGAATTTCATATCGGTCGCATTAACGGCCGTTTATTCAACGTCTAATCTTTGCGCGGGGCTTTTTCACGCCCCGCCGCTTTAAAGTCCGACAATGTATAAGTGCGCATAGTTTTAAACTCCTCGAGACGGAAACTTCGGGACTTTCGTATTCGCATTAACGGTCGCGCGCGCGGGTGCGAATGCCGCGCCGGCGGCGGGCCTGTGTGCGTATGCCTACGTCAGTATGCATTATTACTAGTTACATGACGTAGTTGCTACAATCTCGAAACTTTGAGCATGAAACTTTAAATAGAAATTAAACACGAGAATACTAATGGCACGGAGCAACACATATCTGTGTTAAGATTAGCGCGCACGTACCTCTAATCTGTTTCATCAGGAACGTCATTTCGGATTCATGTAGCACGGCTCGGTCTTTCGTATATTATTAAAACAGTTTAACTATCGAATAATTAATTTCGTATCGATGTCGCATGCGCGACTATATCGAATCAATTACGATTACAACGGCAGGGATATGTAATGCGATGTAAATTCTAAATATCAGCGTTGAACATATCAAATTTTCTCTAAATAATGATAGTTACTTTTACTTATTGTTAGTGGAACTCTTTATCGCTTTATTCATTCACGCAGGCACTTCGTGGATTGCATGTACGACAGCAGAGATCTTGAGTCGAGTGCCGATGCAGTCATCTCGATACAAGAAACTCTTGCAGTCTCGCATACGTAAAAAAGAAGCGCTACTTATCTTCAAAATGTAATTATTAGAATTGCCGTCAGCAGATTTCTTGCGTCATTCGCATAACACAGTGCTCCAATCCAGTGACAAGGACATGGATTTTTAAGTTCAAAGATTAAACAAATAAAATACTTTTTCGCATGTTATACGATAAATCGCAAAATGGAGCTTTTCATATACAGTTATATAACGAACATCGTGCGTTTGAAGTTCAAAATCTCGAATCTTCAACAAACACCGGGGAAAGCGTAAAAAATAAAACACTTTCGAAATATATATATACTACAATTTTCCAAATAGTTAACGTTATTACGTTCATAAACGACCTCGATTTCGTTATTCACGTAACATAATTAAATAACGTTATTGCACATTCAACTTGAATAAAAACAACGCGCAAAGTACAAATTTTGAATTGGAAAATATTCAATTTACAAATGTTATCACTGTAATAATTGTCATTAGCTGCTCGTATTTAATTGTTTACGGGAAACGGCGTTGTATTCGTACGTATATATCAACAATATTTGAATCTCAAATAAATTAATATATGGAGCACTGCATAAATAATAAATCCACTATAAGCACTATGTATCATTGTTATTAATGATATCGTTACTGCTGTCATTTTTTTTCCGAATCTCTCGAAATTATATCAACAAATAGTACGTGATTCGGATATACATTGTTTCTTCAACGATTTCATTCAAAATAAAGATGTATACGCGCGCACATGATATATTTCTCCATACAAATTTCCCGATATAAAATCAAACGTCACGAAGAGAAAGGAAGTAATCGCATGAAATACCGATCTGTATTTGCTCCCCAGATGAAAAGAAACGTTGTGTAAACGAGAGTTCCGCGTAAGAAGTGTCAAATTGCAACGTAAACATTTCGCGCGAAAAACATCTGATGTGACGCGCGGAAAAGAAAACAAAAGAAACGCCTGCGAAAGGGCGCATCGTTCGAATTCCTCGCGCGGAGCGGAGAGGCAGCTGCTCGCTCCGGAATCGCACGCAATTTATCGTAATTTCGAGAAAGCGAAAGAGACTCACCTCGCGGAGCATGCCGACGGCTGCCGACGTCCCGACGTCGTCCCAAGCGGTGGTATCCTTCTGGCCGGGGTCACTAACTAGAAGAGGCCCGTGCACATCACCCATGATTCCCGGCTGGCGCGTCTCACGACAAGTAGAAACTTATCCGTCACACTCTGCGGGGGGGAGAGGAGGGGCCGTTGCGTACCGCTCGTACGGGCGGTGCGCGTACACACACGGGCGCGCGAGAGAACGAGAGAGTGAAAGACAGGCGGAAAGGAAAGAGAGGAGAGAACGCGGGCGGAGGACGCGAGCGGCGGCGACGGCGGCGGCGTCGGCAACGGCTTGGCGACGACGATGCGGCGATCAGGGCGGATGCACCGGGTGCCTCGACGATCATCGCGTCATGGTCTCTCGGTGCGTGGCGGCCGGCCGCGGGCGCAGACGACGATCCCGAAGCTGCATTCCCCGCCGACGGGGGCTCGTGGCCGGTGGTAGCGCGAGGCCGCTTCTTCTGGCTGCTTCTCCTCTTCGTCCGAACTCGCCGCGCGAGTTCGCCTCCTCCTCATGTGTCGAGCGCGCGCTCGTCCGCCTCGGGTTCGCGCGCGCCGTTTCGGGTGACAGCGAATTTTCCGGACGGCACTTTCGGCTGGGCGTCACTGTTTTCTCTTACTCTCACTCCGTTGTCCGGCACACGCACGCGCTCGCGCTGACGCGCCGCCGAAATTTACGCGAGCTCGCGCGAGTCAGAACTGTCACGATCGAGAGGATACGTACGCGCACACGGCACACCGGAAAACCGAGGAAAACCGCGTTTCACCTCGAGGTAACACGGCAAGCCGCGTAGAGCGAACTGTGGTCACTGTGGAACCGCCGCGCGGACTCGGCCGAACGAACAACAAACTCGGAGCAACGTGATGGCGCCGCGTCAGGAGCACGACTGAGAGCGCCGCGCCGCGCCGCCGTCGGTACTACTCCGAGTCAACGGCTCGCGGTGTTACGGCAGGCGTTGGAGGGGGAAGAGAGAGAGAGAGAGAGAGAGAGAGAGAGAGAGAGAGAGAGAGAAAGAGAGACAGAGAGATCGCGCGCGCGCTCGAGCAGGAGCTCGAACGCGAGCGAGAGAGAGAAAGGGAGAATGTGAAGGAGAGCGGCGCGTGTGCGAGTGGGGCCGCGCGACATATACACAATTCACACAAAGGCGACGACTATGCGTATACTGTGGCTCACGCGATAGGCGGTGTCGCGGTCCCAGGGCCGCACGGATCGGGCTATTTTGAAAGGGGAGCGGGGGGGAGGAGGAGAGGGAAAGAGTACACTCAGTTACACAGCTCGCCCCGTACGAGGGAGCGAAGTCGTACACGTTTCCGAGAACAAGCAACGCTTGACTTATAATCTCGATCTCTTCTCTCCCATCGCGGCCGCGCTCGCTCGGCGCTGATAACGCAACGACTAATTTCGCGCAGTTCGCAGATTCGATAACGAGCGTCGAGAGAGTGAGAGAGAGAGAGAGAGAGAGCCGAGCTACGATAAAATACGAATCACGGTAAATTCGAAACGTATACGTACTCGATTTTCACTTGCTTCCTATTCGCCGACAGATCCGCGTCGATCCGATAACCGATTGTTTGTGGCGGCCTTCGATTATCGACTATCTCCTCGAAGTACGCTCTCGTAATTAGCTAGCCGGCAGCTTTCGGACGCTGTATAGAACTGGTATTAAAGTACTTCGTAGAATCACACGACACTTTTCGCGAACAATTTTTCGCCGCTCGAACTCGCGTCCGCCATGATTGACGTGAATCGCCTTCGTGCGATTTCGCAGCCAACGTCGGACGAATCAATTTCGGCCTCTCCGCGTCTTCCAATCACATTTATATCCGTAAACGTGATTGGCAAATTCGAAGAATCAAATAAAGATAGTAATCGCAAAATTATAACGCGTTAATTATCGCTCAAGCTTATGGATATCTTAATTATTACGTTACATTAATCAATCTTACTAGAGCAATAATATTACTAAGATATAGAGTAAGGAGGAATTATTTGAGTTAGTTAAAGAGAAAATCGAATACAAAATTTTCAAAACAAGGAGAAGCTTTTCAATTTTCCGAGTAAGGAGAGGCTTTTTGTCTTGAAACTTTTTTATCCGACTTTTTCTTTAACTGACTCAAATAAGCCCTCCTTATTCTATCGACTTTATATTGGCTCATTGTCAGATAATCATGCATGGTCACGTAAGCATTTCCAAATACAACACGTACGTGTCGCGAGCGAGGAATCTCTTTGCTATAATGATCCGACAAACTAGCGCGCGTGCGAATATCAAGAGCGCCGAATGAGGTGTCGCCGTAGAGTACTAATTAACCGGAGGAGGAAACCGTTGATTAATACCACGCGCTCGCGTCGCGTCAAAACTCCCGCGCAAGCAACGTCCGCCTCCCTCCCCCGCGCCATTACTTATTTCCGCGGCGCGTCGCGTGCCTAATATTTATCGGAGGGGAGTGCGCGATTGGACGGACTGTCGCGGCGACGCACCGCGTTGTAACGTGTCAATTGAGGTCCGGCGTTGGCCGGCGTTTACGGCCGTTCGTTTGCATTATCCGACTCGGGGCGAATAAACAGACGCGCGACCGTTAGAAAATTGCTCCGCCGAGATACGTCGTGCCGCCGCGTGTGTCGCAATGTAAACAGCTCAGTTCTCGGTATTGCGCGAGTGCCCGTCCGAGTGCCGAATGTCGATCCTCGCGCGACCGCGATGCTTCGTAGAAACGAAGCGTGGACATTTTCGTACGCTATCACCCGATACGCGAAAGGACCGCTCAAGATATGTGTCGCGTCGCGTCGCGTCGCGTGTGCAGTGAAATATATGGGCTGACGGACGCTCCGAGAATCGACTCCGAGGACCGGAGGCTGTTTTAGGCTCGGTGACGCTGTGACGACGCTGCGTGTTGCGGATCTCCAGCTGCGAAACGAGAGCGACAAGGTAAGTGGCTAGATAGCAACGCTTTTGACTCGAAATCTGCAAGCGTCTACCGTAACTTCGACATACTCCGTTAAAGCGAGGGTTATATTTAAGTATGTTTGAAAATAATAATTCACAATCAGAAGTCTGTATTTTTGCTGTGAAATATTTACAATTTTGTACAAAGTATTAAATTGTCGCTTTCAAGGAGTCGCTAGCGTAGATTTTCATTATTTATTCGTTTTAAATTGTCAGGATTTAAATATATATAATTAAATGTCCGTTAAATAATCAGTGCAGATCAGAGCCTCTGTGGGTCGTTACGTGCATTTTCATTTTCTACACGCGCTATATTCAAATAATACCGTACCGTACCGACTTCAAAGGGGGTAAACGCGAATTATAAAGACAATTAGCCGTTGCGAAGAGAACGTTCTGAAAACAAAGGAGCGAGTGTAATAATCAATTGTGATGATGAATGAGAGTAACGAAAGTTCTCTTCGCGCCATTTCCTGTATTTTCTCGCATTTCTCTCGCGCGCAGTGATTAATTGTACAACTTAACGATTATATTCAAACGGACACGATGGAAGCGAATCTTGCTATCGTGTCTCGGTTAAATGAACGATTCTCAGTTTATCCAATAAATGTCGTGAAACATTAGTCCGGAATCGGCGTGTTATCATGTTTTCTCACATTCGATACAATATTTAATGCTGATATTTGCACAAGGAATTCATACGATAGTCCTTTTCTTTTATTCCGCGTGATACTTCTTTTCCGTTAAAAACATCTTAAAAAAAAACAGAAATTTTTTAAAGAAAATAATTGATCACGTTGACATTATCGGAAGACATGTTCTTTCGAATATAAAATTTAAAATTGACTATTCGAACAGTCGCATAAAATATTTATGCGAATATTTTTTTAATGCATTCCTTAATTATTTAAGAAGGGGCAATTTTTTAAGAAGGGGCTTAAGATTTTCGTAAGACTTTAAACGAATAATAAGAACATTTTTTTTCTTGTTCACTCATTTAATCCTTTTCGTCGGCTAGGACGGGCGTTTTCTAACAGGAACTAAAATGTCAAAACTATGATTTTCTTAACATTGCGCGGACCCCGTGGGTCTTTTAAGGCACAGTCAATTTTTCATTTATGATTTCCACGGCAATGGCTTCATCGCTCTTAAAAAGAAATTGCAACAGTTCCGACCTATGTAAGTCGAATAAGTAAATAGAAATCACTTTTTGAAACCGTATGATACATGAATTTTTATAGATTTTTTTGTAACACAGAAACGCTTTCAAAAACCCTTTAGACTTAAAAGTCCCAGGGTGTCCGGGTGAATGCTCCAAAAACACGGTATCCGCGCAGTGTTAAAGTTACTAAGTCGCTTTACGATTCTGGTTACACAATTCTAAAATTTTAACATCTAATATAGCGGACTTAATGTTCAAATAGTGATGCAATTTGTGTGAAACTCACATTATATAGGTTTTCGAATTCGCTAAATTTGAATCTAATCTTAAAATTATAAAATTTGAAATAGCAGATCTGTTCAAAACAGAATACGTAATTGTTTCGTATATACTCGAGTTAATGACATAAATATATAATGTCAAAATTATCTTTCTATTATTCTAGCGATCGTTGCGCAGAGAGTTGTGCGCTGCTCTAACAAGTCGAAAATCCAAGGCTAGAATCGAACTTAACGACCTCAAAAATCTGTATAAAATAAGTTTTAAATTGTATTATTAAAATTTTAAATCCGCCATATTTGTTCTGCCATTTTTTATTTCGGCTTCAGATTCAAATAATACACCATGAAAATCCCCTATAGGACAAGTTTCATAAATATCAGACTAATAGTTTCTGAAATAAAAGGCCTAGTCCTTATAGGTGTCTTTTTTCCAGGACCACCTGTCCTGAAAGGGTTAACTATTGGCTATGGAAATGAGCTATGGATAACTGCACGAATTGTCGTGTTACTCTTAACATTGGAAAAGAAACGCATAGACGGAGGGCAGGCGGAGCCTAAAAAACTGACCTAAACCAAACTCAATCTTAATTTTAATTCAGAAATAGGTATGGGTTAAGTTAGTTTTTCGGGGTGGGGGTGCAGGGGAAGGGACGGAGCCCCGCCCAAGCATTCCCTTAAATATACAAAGATCTTTTTCAACATTCAATTAGATAATAAAAGAAACTATGTGAAAATTAATATGTTAAAAAATTTTTTCACAATTTATTCATTAGATGTAATATTAATAAACAAAAAAAGCCATATTATTCTAGGTCATAATCTTAAAAAAAATATATATATGTATATATATATTCCAATATTTTCTAGTTTTTTCCT